CTCGACTCGCCGTACCTATGTATGCATGCATGCATGCCACAGGCCACAGGCCCTATTCCGATTCCTCCGTCTCTGTTTCGCCTTCTCGCGCCCACTCGAATCGTCTCGGTCTCTTCTCGTCGCCGCGTCCTTTTCCTTCGCCCGCTCCTCCGCGCTCGGTCAGCTCGTCTCCGACCCTCCGGCTCTCATTGTCAGTTTCTTTCTCTCTTTTCCCCTAAAAGCCATGCCAAGTAACTCTGGCGCTGGCGCGGGCGCGAACACAGGGCACAGATACGGATAGGGATAGGGATAGGGATAGGGATACGGATACGGATACGGATACGAACGCACACCGATACAGCCACACAGAGGCAGAGGCGGAGCGGTAGTATGCCGGCCGGCCGGCCGGCTAATCGATACGCGGTGGATGGAGCGGAGCGAGCGAACGAGGGACCCGAATAGGGTCCCAGATAGTTGAGCGGAGGGTTGAAAGCAAACGATGGATAGGTGTTATTTCGTCGAGGCGAGAACCGAAGAAAAGAGAAACGGGGGAGAATCGGCGGTCGAGCAGCTTGAATCGTTCGAATCGATTCGACGTTTCCCAGAATTCGACTCGGACTCGCCGCCCCATAGTCCCGGGACCGACTCGTTTCGGTTCGGTTCGACCTGCGAGCGATCGGTATCTTCCAACGGTCGCGACGGATACGTCTCTTTCACCGACCCGTTGTCCCCTGGCCTTCGAGCCTTCCCATTTTTCCATCCATCTTCTTTTCACCGGCGCGCGTCGCGCATCCTCGCGCTTCGCGTTTTCCAAACGCACCCTCCCCGCTCGGTTTTCTCCGGCCCGCGCAGACTTCCAATTTCCATGGNATTCGAAACTGGAAATTTGAAACTCGAACGGAGCGAACGAGCCGAATCCGAATACCAAAGAGACCGATGAATTCGACCGGGTTCCCGATAGTTTTTGTAGCTGGCAGATCGCATCTCCCGATAAACGTTTGTACGCGTCACGACTCACGATCTTCGGACTATGCCTTGCGAACTTGGCTGTCCACGCCGGAAGTACCTACTACACCACCGGGACTGAATGAAGTCGTTGTTTCGACGGCGTTTGCTCGCTCGCTCCTTACCAGAGGGACGGCGAGAAGAGAGAGGAGAGAGAAGAGAAGCGAGAAACGAGAGACCGCTGCACCCTGCAACCAGACTCGCCGCGCAACGGCGTATCACGGTTTCACGTCGAAACGAAGAAATTTTGTTGACCCGGCTCGGAGCTGGATTTTCGATCGATCGGCCGTTTTCGAAGTTACAGCTCGCGATATTTAACCGTGTTCCATGACCGGGATCAGACTCGCGACCCGCTGTACAAGGAAAATGTATAATCTGACCGTAACAACTATAAAAACGAGCTGCAAGGCTCTAATAATGGTATCTCCTCTTCCCAAATTGTCCATTTTTCTGCACAATCCGAGCGTCGGTCCGAGGATTCTCGCGGCTCCGGCTGCTTGCGACAAGAATCGTTCGAGGATCGTTTAGGATGCTCGAAGGTTCGGGTTCTTTTGAATTTAATGGGAACAAAGGTTCGCTCGAATCTTCTCATAAGCGGTAAGTGATACTAAGTAAGCGGTCGATTAAACGGTCGACGCAACCAACGAGGGTATTGTTTCTGTTCCTCCTCTGTGCCGTTCGCGCGAAACAATGGCCCGTTAAATAATAATCGCGATATACCCTTCGACGTTTTCGCTCCCTTTGAAATCGCTCGCCGCTACCGAATCTGCGATCTCGATTTCTTTGCTCTCCCGCCGAAGAATTCCCTTTTACGCGCGGTTTCCGCGCGTATCGGCCCCGCTCGAACGGATTAGCCGTGTACGACCGACCGCCACCCGTCGACTCTCGGACCTCGGACTCTTCGACTTTGTCCGTGAACCAAATAAACGGAAACGTTTACCGTGTCGGCACCGCTGCTGCGTATCAACGAATCCGTCGATACGGAGCACCGTGGTAACAGTCCTCCGTGGGGATTAAAAGCTATAACGCGCCTACCCCTCTTCCCCTCGGCCGGCAACGGCCCCGGTTATGGCCACGCTGTTCGCTCGACTCGCCGTACCTATGTATGCATGCATGCATGCCACAGGCCACAGGCCCTATTCCGATTCCTCCGTCTCTGTTTCGCCTTCTCGCGCCCACTCGAATCGTCTCGGTCTCTTCTCGTCGCCGCGTCCTTTTCCTTCGCCCGCTCCTCCGCGCTCGGTCAGCTCGTCTCCGACCCTCCGGCTCTCATTGTCAGTTTCTTTCTCTCTTTTCCCCTAAAAGCCATGCCAAGTAACTCTGGCGCTGGCGCGGGCGCGAACACAGGGCACAGATACGGATAGGGATAGGGATAGGGATAGGGATACGGATACGGATACGGATACGAACGCACACCGATACAGCCACACAGAGGCAGAGGCGGAGCGGTAGTATGCCGGCCGGCCGGCCGGCTAATCGATACGCGGTGGATGGAGCGGAGCGAGCGAACGAGGGACCCGAATAGGGTCCCAGATAGTTGAGCGGAGGGTTGAAAGCAAACGATGGATAGGTGTTATTTCGTCGAGGCGAGAACCGAAGAAAAGAGAAACGGGGGAGAATCGGCGGTCGAGCAGCTTGAATCGTTCGAATCGATTCGACGTTTCCCAGAATTCGACTCGGACTCGCCGCCCCATAGTCCCGGGACCGACTCGTTTCGGTTCGGTTCGACCTGCGAGCGATCGGTATCTTCCAACGGTCGCGACGGATACGTCTCTTTCACCGACCCGTTGTCCCCTGGCCTTCGAGCCTTCCCATTTTTCCATCCATCTTCTTTTCACCGGCGCGCGTCGCGCATCCTCGCGCTTCGCGTTTTCCAAACGCACCCTCCCCGCTCGGTTTTCTCCGGCCCGCGCAGACTTCCAATTTCCATGGTTCCGTTACGATGGAAATTCAACGAACCCCGAGCAGCGTGCCAGTCCGCGGCACAAAGCCTCGTTCGCAGGGGCGAACCGCCTTCCACGTAGCAACGTATACCCGCGCGATACCCGCCGCCGTTCCTATCGCCATCTTAACCGTCGACTATCACGGTACATGCGACAAAGATTAACAAAGCGGGGAAGATCGCCGGTACCGTGTAACGCGCACGATAACCAGGGAAACGTGCGTGAAAAGTAAAATAAATTTTTGAAAAGATATCGGCTCGAATCACGCGAATCTGATCGCGTGATGCCTTTCGTTGCTCGTCGATCTTCGTTCTTGTTAACGGCTGCAGGGAGGGAAAAGGGCCTCGGAGGGTTCCGGGCGCAACGATTTTCCTCGCCGAGGAAACGAAGAAGGCGGTCGTGTTGTACGAGATAAGCTAGAAACGCGACCGAATTAGGGAAAAAGAATCTCCGGTATTTGGAACTCTGGCACGGTCGCGTTTACAGGGCCGTCTTTGTCGCGTTCGCGACAAACTGCACGGCAGAACACACGCGTCCATGCTCTATACCGTGTGCACACTGCACGCGTACGGACGTTGCTACGTCGATCCGATGCGACGATGCGACGATGCGACGAGCCGTCGCGTCGGCCGTCGGGCTATCCTGCATCGCGTCGCACAACATAGCGTAGCACGATGTTGGCCAAGCATACGTTCGATGTAGATACAGCTTCGTATCGATTTCTATTCTCCTTCTCCTTCTCCTCCCTCCGGCATTCTCGCTCTTTCTATTATACATTCTATAGCTATATAGGTATCGCTGTATGTACGTACACGTGTGCCGTACGCGTGTAGATACCCGACGACCACGAGCACCGTAGAAAAGTGCGAATGCGCGAGTGCGAGAGCGAGAGCCAGGATCGGCTCGACTGCGCTCACCGCGTGGACGAATGGTTAAATTTCGAGCGAAACTATCGCACAGTTCCTCGCGTAGGTACCCTACCTACGTATGTATTCGTTTTCGAATCGAATTACCCGTACTTTTACCGCTCTGCTCGAAAACGAATCGACCCGTTTTTCCGGGAGAACCCGTTTTTCTTTTTCGAGTCGCGAAGCGGAGGTCGAGCCGAGAAAACGCGGCGGTTCGTTGGCGACGCGAAAACGCACGGCGCGTTAATTACCGGCGACGAAACGATTTTGGCATTGGCATTGGCGCTGGCATTGTTACCGTTGCTCGTTTCGCCGCGAAGAACCGTGAAAAACCGCGAATCGACTTCCCGCTCGGAGCACCGTTCGATTCCAACGAACGCGGTGCGCGAGACGCGTTCGGTTTACCGAAAAAAACGATTTTATCGTCTACCTACGTGCCGCGTATCGCGTAGATACCTACGCGCTATGCGATGCGATGCAACGCAATATGTACACAGTATGCGCACGGCGCGACCGGTGCAGGTATGCGTACGCGTTTAGCGCTTACCTTCGCATTTCGCGGAGCTACGAAAGAGCCGCTATCCTCTCCCGTCCTTTATTCCGTTTTTCATTCTAGAATAGAATACCGGGCACCGCATCGGAACAAACTCGACATCGTTCGACATGCTCGACTCTCGTTGTAACTGTAACCTGCAACGCGTCCGCTATTTTCCATCGGTCGAAACAATCTCGAATGTGCCTCGGCTATTTCTAGAAATTGACGCGATACGCGCTTCCATCGAATATAAATTAACGCTGGAACAACCGAGCACCGAAAGCTACTAATTTTTGTAATTTCTTTGAAAAACGACTGGACCCCAACGATGCACGACGCGATCGCGGAATACATCCGAATAAAAGACGTATCCGGTAATTGCCTGGAGAAGCGTCTTTAGAATCCGAACGATCGCGAGTCCGCCATTTTGTCGGGTCCGGCAGTTCCAGCGTTAAATTTACCGTTTCGCCGAGAAAAGATCGCGTTTCCGACATTGCGTCGAGATGCTCCAACAATAAGACGTCTAAGTACAGGGGGGAGGAACGAGGGGGGGGGGCAGGCGGAGGTGACGATGGAAACGAGAAAGGGGAAGAGAATGAGAAAGAGAAATGCGAAATGCGAAGAACATACCTGCGACGGTGAGAGTGGCGTTTCGACTTGGAACAGAACCCTCTTGATTTTTCGCGACGCACCAGTAAACTCCGCCGTCTTGCTCCTTTTTGCCATGCATTACCCTTAAGAAAAATAGCGATCCCGTCGGGAGGAGAACGCGATGGGATTTTGCATCTCCTGGCGACGTTTGAACCAGTTCCCCGTCTTTGTACCACTCGATTACCGGTTGAGGTTTACCTTCTGCTTTGCAATTCAACGTTATCGGTTCGTTTTTCGCCACAATTATGTCCGAGGGGTGTTCCGTTATGCGCGGTAATCTCCATTGCCCTGAAACAATCATTTCGTTCGAGGTTAGCTCGTACGCACACACGCTGAAAACTATTGGAAAAAGGGTTAACGATCGCGTCGACGGTCGATCCGTGCTCTTTCCGCTTCTATGTCTATTTATCATCCGCTACTATTTCCACGACTATCTCTCTAATTTAACGCGCGACGGTCGATAATTAGGTACAGGTCGTACGTCGATCGTCGCTCGTCGCTCGAGACCGTTTTAGATCTCGCGGCGCAGACTTTGCGGTCGTCTCTAGACTCTAGATTCCGGATTCTAGATTCCAGATTCCGGATTCCATATTCCGGATGATCGACGATGCATCGGTGGTAGTTGCGTTCACGCGCGCAACTGGCTCCCGTGTCCGCCCCGTCGTCCGCATAACGCGTCCGAGCAAAGATATTACAACCATCTCGATATAGCAATGGGAATTCTAAAGCGGTACGTATAGGTACGATCGACGTACCGAGATGTGCGCGCATCTGTGTACACAAATATACGCGCGGATGGATATAGATATACGGATATAGGCGGATATAGTCGGATATGTGTGCACGAAGATGTACGGCGATCGCCTCGCGCGGTCTGCAAATTCTATTCCAGCGGAACGTCCGCAGCGAGGCCGCTCGAGAAACGTTTCGCATCTGTAAGAACGTTTACTCGAATTCCGAGGCTGCGCGTGTACTTACGCGCGACGCGTTCGCGGACACGCTGCACGAATGTTCTAGCAAATGAAATCGAGCCTTCTTAATCCGCGCGATCGAATTTGTTCCGACGAAATCGGTCGAACGCTCGCGGATCCCCCGAATACAAAATATCTGGCAGGCTGGTGCTCGCGAGCGCGAACGCGCGCGCGCGCAAGCCGGCAGATTTTTCTTTTGTGTTCTTGCCTCGGTGCTCGGAAACAATAGACGCTGTGGCTAAATTAAAATCGCCTCCGGAGTTTTCATATTTCGCTGTTGAACAGACTCGCAGGCAAGCGGACGCGCGCGCGCGCGCGCGCAGCTTTTGCGTTCAGTAGGCCCGAGGCATCTCGTTTCATTTCAGTTCCAAGTTCCAACTCCTCCGAATCAAGCTATCCAGACAACCTGTGCATTGCCAACTCTTCCCCACTCTCGCTTCTTTTGTGTTCCACCGACCACCGCGTATCTGCTCTTTCTCGTTCCATTTGATCCTCCGTTCTCGCGCTTTACGCTCGGCCTCCTTCTTTCCTCGTGAAATATTCTTACTCGGCTTTGGCCGGATCGAGCATCGTCCGCCTTCCACCGAAACGTCTCGTCGCGACGGCAGGTGGACGCGGAACGATGCAACGGAACGACAATGATATCGCGGAGGACGATCGACGACTCGAAGATAATGCCCGGCAATTAAAGCGCGGAGCGCTCGAGTGCGCGATCGCTTGGCATACGGCTTCGCGACTTCACGGCTTCGCGGCTGCGACGACGCGAGTATTGATTTGCCGCTGTTGCTTCGGCTCTGTTAGTTCTGCCCTGTCTTCCACCGCGCCGGCTTCGCTGCCCTTAGCCCTCGCGAGCCTCGCCGAATTCTGCCGAATCCATCGAATCCGTTATCTTCCCTTTACCCTTCACCCTCTACCCTCTTTTTCCAATTTCTCCTCTTTCCCCTTTACGGTTTGTTTCCGGATTGCCGGGTCTCGCGTCTTCTCTCCCTCGGCTCGACACGCGGCGAACGACGATCGACGCGTGTTCCAACGTTTCGAGCATCCGTTTCTCAGCGGGCCGGCCCTCTCGTTTTTGTGTAAAAAGAAAGAAACGGAAAAAAGAAAACTGTCGACGGAGAATATAGAAAGCAAAGGGAACGTTCGTTGCGGTTTCAAAGGTTTCGCAAAAACGGCATAAAAGTCGAAGGAATGGGAAACGAATGCAAAGAACAAGGGAGAAGAGAAGAACGGAATATAGCTTCGCGAGTACGAGTACACATTATGGACTACCAAACTGCATTTGGCACGTCTCCAGAAGCATACCACGGCAAACCGTCGCGAGGATTGCCCTATTTTGAAATCATTACCACGCCGTAGACTACCATTTTTACCCCTCCGTTCTGCCTGAAAGGGCAACGCGCACACGCGCGTACGCGTGCACACGTACACCTTCGATTTAGCCTAATTTCCAGGCACGTATCGACGTCCGGACGATCCCGACCGGTCGAAGTTCCCGTAATCGTCGACTGGATCGCGAAGATGCTGCCAGATGTTTACGAGGCGCGTACTACGTACGCGCGCGAGTACGTTTTCATCGTTGCGCGTAAAAGATTAATAGATGTCGAGATTAGATGGAAAGAGGGAGAAAATGGAAGAGAGCGGGAGCGGGAGGACCGAGAAGCGGGAGGATGGGTGGCGAACGGGAGCGAACGGGAGCGAACGGGAGCGAACGGGAGCAAATGGGAGCGAGGGGGACCACGGAGGAAGAAACAGTTTCATTACTTTCTTTCCCTTATCCCCTATCCCCTAAGAAGGATATTCTTTCGAGAGGGGAAGCCAGAAGACGAAACGGGAATAACCATTGAATTCCTTGAGACGTGGGGGAAACCTAAGACGCACGGAAACCTGGGAAGGGAGAGTTTAGCCGACACACCCTCCTCGAGTTCTTTCCGAGCAGCGGGCTCGTCCAAGCTCGTGGAAAAAAAATAGCAACGTTCCTAAAGTAAATAACGCAGAGCGTAGCGTAACTCCGGAAAGAATCGATGATCCGTCGGTGCCGCTTCTATTTCGGTTTCCGTTCCTACTCGCTTTTCCATTTGCTCTCAGACGTTTTTCTCGTTGCTCTCGATTTATACGACTTTACCAAAAATAGCGATACCTAATGGAGGGAACTTGGCCGTGTGGACCAGGACCAGGACCACGACCATGATCGCGACCGCGACCGCGACCACGACCGCGACCACCCTCTTTCCCTCCCCTCGTGTCTTCTCATCGCACCCCGTTTCGCCTCCTCTCGTCTCGTCTCGTCTCGTCTCGTCTCGTCTCGTCTCGTCTCGTCTCCTCCGCCCGCAGCCCTTCCACTTCGGGCTCGCTGTTTCCTCTGTCTCTTCGACCTCGGAAGAAATTGTCTTGCGAACCGGGGCTATCGATCGTCCAGTTTCTCCCTCGCGGGTATGGCGCGCACAGCCCGACGTCCGTCGATACGATACGATACGATACGATACGAAACGTCGAGATCCGTTTAAACATCGGGGAAAAATCGGTGACAGCGTAGTTTAGCTCGTATCGAAACTATTACACTCCGGCTATCGATTCGAGCTATTAATATATCGTAGAGAATTCGCGATCGATCTCGCGAATTCTAGTTGTAAAAATCTGGGAAGAACGGCGAGGGCGTTAACAAGCGGAGAAGAAACGAGAATACGCTGGAAAAAGCCTGGATTCCACGCGCGAGCAGACATTCGACTCTCCTCGTTGCTTCTTCATCGATTTTCATCGGTTTCCATCGGAGAAGATTACATCGGAAAGAGACTCCGACGCTATTTTCAGAAGTTGTAGAAGAAGAAAGCGATTTTTCCCGACGTTGTTTCGAAGCGGCTCGGTGTTCTCGTTCCGAAATAGAACAGCTTCGTACTTGTTTCATAGAAGATCGTCCACGTATACCTGCATACGATTTACGTCACCGGAACGACACGTTTTTCCAACGAAACGAAGCGTACCGTTAAACGAATCGATATCGAGAATCCGCGAGCGAAACGTTTATTGCTAAACTTTTTTACACGATGCCGAGCACTCTTCCGCTCTTACGCGACACGGCGACTCGCTTCTCGTCCCGGCGCGCAAACTTCCAAGAGCTCGAATCGACGGAAATTCGATGATCGTTGATGCGAGAATCGTTGAAGCTTTCAGAAAAATTGTGCGTTCCCTACTATAGGGAAAAAACTGTCGTCGTTGCACGCGCCGACCGTATACAAGTTTACCGTTTCGTTTAACGTCGGCGAAACTCGGCCGTGTTCGCAACTTTCCAACCACGAAAATGGTACAACCACCGATATCTGTTGCGTAGAGTTCGATCGTGTCGTTATTTTCTGGTAGCATAGTTATATCCAGGTATGCCGTGCGAATACAGATAATTGTAACTTATAGATACGAACACGTATCTCGATCCAAAAGCCAGAATTTATCGAGTCGAGCGTGTACAGGCTCGAACTGTGGCGGCATTCGCGTGTTATCCCGCGTAATTTATCATTTTACCAAACCGTACGATACCGAACGAAGCGGTTCGAGCCATCGAAAAGTGAAAAAAACGCATACGTTCGCATCCTCGTCTACGCGCTCTCGTGCATAGGATGCTGGCGCGCTCTTGGGACGAACCAACCGTGCATCGTAGCGTACACCTTTAAACCCGCGATCGAGTTTACGGTTATTTTCATTGACATTAGTCGATTCGCTTTCTCGGTTAGGTAGCCGTACCGTCGAACGATTCGTTCGAAAGTTATTGCCGGCTCGGTAGTTCGAGCACCGGTCAAAGTTCCGAGCCGAACTCGAGAACAGGCGATTCGTTCCGAAGATTGGTTTGTCCTGGTTGCATCGGTTACCTCGTAAACGTTCCCGAGTACGTGGACGAAGCGACATAGGCGAGAACAAGACACGTCCACGTGTCCACGCACATGCTCCGATTCCATTAAACATTCGTTTCGCGTTTTCGCGTCGAGCGATAGCTCCCCCGGCGTTGACGCGACGCGTACCTAACTCCAATAGACCCTAATGCTTTCGGTTTCCTTTCGATAACGAGATTCTATTTCGTAACGGCGTACGGTAATGTCTCTCTAATCGACGCTCGGGTGATCCACAAAAATCGACAATTTGGGAAGAGGAGATGCGATCGTTCGATACGGTTGCCGATTTTATATGGTTGCCGATTGTCAACGANTCATCGCACCCCGTTTCGCCTCCTCTCGTCTCGTCTCGTCTCGTCTCGTCTCGTCTCGTCTCGTCTCGTCTCCTCCGCCCGCAGCCCTTCCACTTCGGGCTCGCTGTTTCCTCTGTCTCTTCGACCTCGGAAGAAATTGTCTTGCGAACCGGGGCTATCGATCGTCCAGTTTCTCCCTCGCGGGTATGGCGCGCACAGCCCGACGTCCGTCGATACGATACGATACGATACGATACGAAACGTCGAGATCCGTTTAAACATCGGGGAAAAATCGGTGACAGCGTAGTTTAGCTCGTATCGAAACTATTACACTCCGGCTATCGATTCGAGCTATTAATATATCGTAGAGAATTCGCGATCGATCTCGCGAATTCTAGTTGTAAAAATCTGGGAAGAACGGCGAGGGCGTTAACAAGCGGAGAAGAAACGAGAATACGCTGGAAAAAGCCTGGATTCCACGCGCGAGCAGACATTCGACTCTCCTCGTTGCTTCTTCATCGATTTTCATCGGTTTCCATCGGAGAAGATTACATCGGAAAGAGACTCCGACGCTATTTTCAGAAGTTGTAGAAGAAGAAAGCGATTTTTCCCGACGTTGTTTCGAAGCGGCTCGGTGTTCTCGTTCCGAAATAGAACAGCTTCGTACTTGTTTCATAGAAGATCGTCCACGTATACCTGCATACGATTTACGTCACCGGAACGACACGTTTTTCCAACGAAACGAAGCGTACCGTTAAACGAATCGATATCGAGAATCCGCGAGCGAAACGTTTATTGCTAAACTTTTTTACACGATGCCGAGCACTCTTCCGCTCTTACGCGACACGGCGACTCGCTTCTCGTCCCGGCGCGCAAACTTCCAAGAGCTCGAATCGACGGAAATTCGATGATCGTTGATGCGAGAATCGTTGAAGCTTTCAGAAAAATTGTGCGTTCCCTACTATAGGGAAAAAACTGTCGTCGTTGCACGCGCCGACCGTATACAAGTTTACCGTTTCGTTTAACGTCGGCGAAACTCGGCCGTGTTCGCAACTTTCCAACCACGAAAATGGTACAACCACCGATATCTGTTGCGTAGAGTTCGATCGTGTCGTTATTTTCTGGTAGCATAGTTATATCCAGGTATGCCGTGCGAATACAGATAATTGTAACTTATAGATACGAACACGTATCTCGATCCAAAAGCCAGAATTTATCGAGTCGAGCGTGTACAGGCTCGAACTGTGGCGGCATTCGCGTGTTATCCCGCGTAATTTATCATTTTACCAAACCGTACGATACCGAACGAAGCGGTTCGAGCCATCGAAAAGTGAAAAAAACGCATACGTTCGCATCCTCGTCTACGCGCTCTCGTGCATAGGATGCTGGCGCGCTCTTGGGACGAACCAACCGTGCATCGTAGCGTACACCTTTAAACCCGCGATCGAGTTTACGGTTATTTTCATTGACATTAGTCGATTCGCTTTCTCGGTTAGGTAGCCGTACCGTCGAACGATTCGTTCGAAAGTTATTGCCGGCTCGGTAGTTCGAGCACCGGTCAAAGTTCCGAGCCGAACTCGAGAACAGGCGATTCGTTCCGAAGATTGGTTTGTCCTGGTTGCATCGGTTACCTCGTAAACGTTCCCGAGTACGTGGACGAAGCGACATAGGCGAGAACAAGACACGTCCACGTGTCCACGCACATGCTCCGATTCCATTAAACATTCGTTTCGCGTTTTCGCGTCGAGCGATAGCTCCCCCGGCGTTGACGCGACGCGTACCTAACTCCAATAGACCCTAATGCTTTCGGTTTCCTTTCGATAACGAGATTCTATTTCGTAACGGCGTACGGTAATGTCTCTCTAATCGACGCTCGGGTGATCCACAAAAATCGACAATTTGGGAAGAGGAGATGCGATCGTTCGATACGGTTGCCGATTTTATATGGTTGCCGATTGTCAACGATTATAAAAACGGGCCACGAGACTCGAACGATCGCATCTCCTCTTCCCAAATTGTCCATTTTTCTGCACAATCCTAGCGTCGATTGGAGAGACATTACTGTATCTGGAATATTGCGAATTCGGTAGACTCTGAAAGGTCTGCATCGAGAATGTTTCGCGAACGAGATCGTGGTTATCGATCGTTATCGTTGCGCCAGTGAATCGAACGGATTCAAGAGATTGCAACAATAGCGTTCCGTTGCGTTTCGTTTGGCGGCTACGCCGAATATAATAATGTTTCGCTTTTCTTTCGAGAACGCGTCCGTACGTCCACAAATCGATACATCCGTGGAAGAGAAATTGTTCGTTTCCGATCGTATCCGGTACAATAAACGGAAGCGTATTCCGTAGCGATGCGATTCGACGCGGCGGCCGTTTCACCGTCGCTTCCTATCGGAACGATTCCATCGATCGCAATCGCCGAATCTGTTTGGTCGTTTCGGCTTTCAGCCACGCGTTTCCCGCCGCGTTCCACTCGTTTCGAAACTTTCCACGGTGCATCGACGAGACCGAGACGAGCAAATTCTCGGTTTGCCCTACCGAATTAGTCGGGGAACGATCGCAACGACGTCGATCGCGCCGATAGCAACATCTGGACTCGCTTCCTTTTCTCGTTCGATTCTCCTTTGAAATAGCTGCGAGATAATGCCGCGGAGTAAACGAGCGCCGCATACATATATGTATGTATGTCCGCGCGAGTCGTACCGATACGTCCATCGAGGACGAATTACCGCGAATTGATAGGAAACGCTAATTTCTCGATGCGACAAATGATCGCGGCTCCGTTCGAACCATTTCACTTAACAATCGATGGTCGGATTCGACGACCGTCGGCTTCTCCGCGAATTCGGTTGCTCCGGAACGGGTCGAATCGAATTCGTCTATTTTTAAATGCCGAATGCAAATAATTCCATTCGATTGTTTCCTGTTCGTTCCGTCCGGCGAAGCGTTCGACCCGGCCTGCCAGCGATAAAAAGACAAAGAAGACGGAGAAAACTGTTTATCGGTGAATCGATATATCGACCACAACAATTCCCCTTCCAGCATCCCCCCGTAACCCTAACTCCGGAGTTAGCGCGTTTCCAGATCCGTGCACAGAGCGTGAAAACCAAACACCGTACCGATGGAAATAAGTATCGCCTACGTATTTCTATTGCACTCGTTTTTTGGTAACACCGTGGAGCGTATCGATTCGTCGAAACGAATGGCGCTAAAGCGAGCACGGTCGGCGCCAATCGACTGGTAAGAAACCTACGCGCTCCGTTCGTTTACTTTCGTTTGCTTCGGTGTGTCGAGAACGGTCTCTTTCGCACTTTCTTCCGCGATCGTTGCTTTCCAATAAAGCTCGCGATAACGTCGCGTCGGTGAAGAGACGCGGTAAACGGGAAAAATGGAGCAAAATACACGATCGAGAGAAACGGTGAACTTACCGTGAACCGTGGTAAGGGCGAATACTGCTATCGCGATCAACTTCCTTAGCCACTCGTTGCGCATCTTTTCTTTCGGTGTCCAAAGATTTTGGGATGTCGTGAATCACGAACGAGACCCTTCGCGGTTGCTTCGGAATTCGATGCTATCGCATGCTGTGTGCCGTGCGTGCTAACGGTAGTGGTAGTGGAAACGGTGGCAGCCGTTCATGCAAAATCGAAACAAAGCCGGAAAACAGTTCCACGGGTGAACGGAACTTGAAAATCGGAGCTCGGAGCTCGGCGACGTGCATAGACGGCGCGTAGACGACGTAAACGAGACGCGCTCGATCGCTCGAGTCGACCAAGAGCCGACCGAGGTTACGCCGGTAACGGATAACACCCGCGAGAGGATTCCACTTTCGAGTTTGGAGCACAGAGTAGCTTTCCGGGCGAGAGGCGTATCTTTCGAGATGACACTCGCGCGCGCCTCATTTCCATGCCATTACACGTTACCGACCTCACCACTGGTATACGCGTACGCGTGTACGTGCAAAGAACGACGACGATGCTGCCGATGCTGTTGCTGTTGCTGCTGCTGCTGCTGCTGCTGACGCTCACCCACACCCACAGCCACATCCACGTCCACATTATACCGTAAACCCACCCACGCGAACGTACAACGTATTCGCCATTACGTGTGTAGTCTGAACTCCGGTGTTCGCGAGCCGTGCATCTACGCGTGATACGCGGAGAGATCGAGTATGTTCTCGCATATATTCGCGAGCGTTTCGTCGGGTATATTCTCGCGTGCGAACCTACGTAACGTTAATGCACCGACCGCCGACCAATCACCACCGATTCCATTCTTATCGGACAAAACGAACGGCCGCTTTCGTACGACGAACTTCTGACATCGACGAGCTAGCCGAGCGCGCGCGCGCGTGCACGCACGCACGCACGCTCGCACACGCGAAACGCACACCTAGGTGCGCCGTATCGAAAAGGATACGCGTGCACACATCGACGACACAAAGCACACGCGCACGCTTGGAACACCAGCTTGGAGCAGCTTACACCGACGAGCACGCCGAATCACGGTGCACGTATATGCGCGCGCACGCACGCACCCACGCACCCACGGCACCGACACAACGCGAAGGCGCCGTCAACGAGAAGGCGGAAGGCGGAACCACCACCGACGCACACTGGATGTCGTTCTTCTAGTACACTTTCATCCTCTTTCGGAACGGGTACTGCTACTCTAATTTTTTCATCGATCCGAGCCGCGCGTCCTCATTGCCACCTCGTCCACCGTACGCGAGCACCGATTTTGGAACAAGCGAGAAAGAAAGGGTTGAAGAGCGAGATAGGGAGAGAGAGAGAGAGAGAAAGAGAGAGAGAGAGAGGGAGGGAGAGCGATCGAGCTTCGGATACGATTCCTTGTTCTCTCTCTCTATTGCCTCGAGCCGACGTTCGAACGAGCCGTTCCGTTCCTTCGTAGCTCGGCGTTTCTTCCGAAATCGATCTCTGCGTGACCGACCGTTGAACCGTACACCGTTTCTATGCCTTCCGGGCGACCATTATTCCTCTCCTCCGTCGTGGCATCTGCCATTTTCTATCCACGAGCACGCTTTGATCTCGAAACAGCAAGGAACGACGAGCAGTCGCACGCAAAATGAAAATCGGAAAACCTCGAACGAAACACGCAATCGCGAACCACCAAAGACCGCAACCGCGGGCGCGAGCGCGACGAACGAGCCACGACTGACGGTCGACGGCGCAGTCAGCTCTCCCGTGACGACTGACGACCGTGACACCACGCGGCTCTTCGGGGAGGTTCGCCCAGATTCGTCTGTTCTCGATCGTGCTCGACTATCCTTCGGCTTTCGTTTCTCGGCGTTCGGTGGCGTTCGGTGGCGCCCGGCGGCGCTCGGTGGCGCTCGGAACTCGGTGCTCGATGTTCGGTGCATCTATGTTCTGCCCTCGGACCTGCTCGGACCTCTGTTTTTGTTCGCGCTTTTCATCTTCGGCTGCGTCGGCCCTTCCGGAGAAAATTCTATCGTAACATCGTAACGCGATGTCTTCTCTTTACGATGTCACCGATCGAACTGCGCACCCGTGGCCAGTTACGTGCCCCGCCGCATTACGACCGAGCCATCGAGATGCCGGAATCCCTTCTGCTCTCGTCAACGACACCCCTCGAAAATTCCTATTCGCCCCAGTCGATACCGTTTTCTTCGGCGAAGCAGCCGAACCGATGTTTTCCACGTACGGGTAACAACTGTCTTTGCATTTTATTCGACTCGGAACTCGAAACCCTGGAACCTGTATGGTCTACGGAATTATGCGAGACGTAGATCGAACCGTGTAAACTGTAATCTGCAAACCGTAGCGGAAACACGGCAGAAATAGGTATATTCCGCGACTCTGACAATGCAAGCGAGCAAAATGGAGCGCCGCTTGGAGCTTGGAGCACAGGGTTGCTACGCTGCGCCGCTATCGTGCCGCTGCCATTGTCGCTGTCGGTACTCGAACTCGCCGGTATCGATTTATATCGGAAATATCGAAGATCGAACTCGCGTCTCCATCTTGAGCACCGGCCGGACCGAACTTGTGTTTCAACTTTCAACTTATTTCGACGATCGAGGATGAACGCGAAATTAGCGGGAACGTAACAGTAGGTAAGCACCGCATACGTATTTATCTATGCACATATATATGCGTTCTTTTTTAGAGCAATTTGTACTTTCTACGAATAATGTCCCGAGGAGATGTACCGTACCTGTGAAAATTCGTATACATCGACACGGCCGAGTAGATTCATTGTTGCAAGTATGCACGGATGCGTAGCGAGTGGCGAACGATTATTAACGACGGTAGGCCGACGATGGGGTTTTACGATACGCGAGAAACAGGATCGTTGGAAAACGAGAACCGATGTTCGAGCTGGTTCGGACAATGCGAACGAGAGACGGTAATAGCGGCACGGACCGAGTAATGGGAATAAAGGAAAGCGTCATCTACCTACACCGTTTGACACCGGAAATTAATTGACCGATCAAACAATCGTAAACTTCCTTTCGTAAATAACCGGAAACTAGACGGAAGTACGTGGCGCGGCATCGGTTGCATTTACGGCGCGAGCACGTTCCTGCGGCTCGATCGTTCGCATCGGAGCTATCCGAAACCTGCAGCCTCGTTGTTTCTCTCGTTTCTGTTCCGCCTCTGTTTCTTTTCTTTCTCTTTCTTACCGTTTACTATTTTTCAGGGATCTTTATATTTCTCGTCGCATCGGCCCGCCCCGATACATTACAGAATACAAAATTCGACACCGAAGGATTCGAATGCTTCATAGCCGCTTGTAACCCGTATTCGACGTCGTCCGAGCGATCCGTGTTCAACATGTAATCGAGAAGCTCCGAGAGTACCTGTCGGCGTGGTCTATTGAAGAATTCGCCCATAGTTTCGTGAACGTTTGCATCGGGTCGGCTGAGCAGGACGCACCTACCAATTGCCGATTGCTGTTTTGCTACCATATTAGCACCAGGAAGAAGGCACGAGCACCGCGGATTTCGAGCACGGTGTAGGTGCAGCGGGAATCGTTCCCGGCAACACCCGTCCATCGATATCGCGGCGTCATGCCAACGTAACGCGCAGAGACAACAGGATGAGACTTACTTCAGTAAAAGGGAGATCACAGCCTTGATCTCCGGATGCGCTGCCAGATAAATCTCATTCTCGTTTCTGACCGTCGCCTTTCTCAGGTTCAACTTCTTCTTCTGATCCTTGCTCAAGGCGCCGATATCGTAGTTTCGCGTGCCATGAGCCAGGTCTTTCGGATGAAAGGGACGTTTGGACGAACAGTCCATTTAGGTCCAAGTTCCAAGATCACCTTCGACGAATTTCCGTTCGAACAATGGAATTGTCCAGTTTCCAACGATATCGGACAGATTGGCCGACGCGTCGACGATGAAACGAATCGAATAACCTTTTCATGCTGGACACGACACGCGGCATACGACCGTACGTTGTTTCGCTTCAAATGTAGACAAATAGCTTCTTTCGTTTCGCGACAGTACGATAGATGTAGACGTAGATACGCGTATCGCGGACGACGCATTTTAAATTCGACGAGTTTTGTCTAGGTCTCGTCGCGATCAGCGAACGTTGGAAGAAATCTCCAAGCCGGTAAACCTTGTACCCCGCGCACGTATCGTACAATTGTAATATTCGCTGTTACATCCGCAACATTTAGATTTCCGATCACGGCACCGCGCCGACACGCGCAGCGAATGCGTGCGCGCGCGCGCGCGTGCGTGCGTGCGAGTACGGCGGGCTCGCGTGCAACTAATCGCCTACTATTATTAGGTATTAATAATCGCGCGTAATATCGAAAAGATATTCGTCGAAGCGGTCGCAGGTGTATCGTCGAAGTAGGTGCGCGGGTAGCCAGGACAAGGATGAAAGCCAACCAGGGCAGGGCAGGGAAAGAAAATGATGCGTAAGTCCGAAGATCGAGTGGGGAGGGGAATCCCGACCAACGAGAAGAAGGGGGCCGTACGTTTTATTTGTCTTCTTAAAGTCGCAAAGTCCCAACGCACGCAGAAAAATCCAGAGGAGGGAAAACGAGGAGGATGCGGAGGATGTGGGGAAGCGGTCAGTGCGTGCGATGTCTCGTCGATGTCGGTGTCTCCGATGTGGGAGCGTCGTTCTCCGAAACCTGGCCAGAAAACGAGACGAACGAGATTGAAGCGGTAAAGGTAACAGAGATAAAAGATAGACCGAGAAATGTTCGCAGGCTTCGAGATCTTCTATAGACGATTCGAGAGTCGCGCGACGGACGAACGATGGAACGACACAGAGGCATCGAACCGAATATCTCTGGTCCAACTGCTCTGACGCTGCTCTGTCTGATCGTCGGCCGTGCCTCGATCGAGTGTGCTCGCAGCGACGTAAAATCGAAAGAGGAATTTCTGGAAGACTGCTGCCTCGACGATGTCGATCGCACGAATAATCGTCGATGCGGCGCTTTCGAAGATTCGAACGGCACGTGGGCGATACCGTACGATACGATCGGCAACGAGTCTGCCACGTCGTGCTGCAGAGTCTGCGTACCATCCGATTCAACTTTTTCGACCGTCTCGACCGTCTCGACCGTTTCGAGTGAGTATCGCACGCGCACGGTACGCTCGCGTCTCGTTCTCTGCGAAACGCGGGAATAAAAGTACGAATCGCTGAGAGTCGTTGGACACTTTATTCGAATCACGGACCAGCATCCGCGCCGATCCTTGCTTTTCTCGGTACAGATCTCTCCTTCGACGACCGTGGATACGCTTCGAACGTTAAACTCGCTACTAATATTGGATTTACAACTCGTCGGATGACTCAGAACGCGCGTATCGCGACTCGATCGACGAGTCCACGCTGTACGAATCAATTCTACCGGGGTTTTCAGAAGAATTCGAAACGAGAGTTCGGCCGGAGGAAAGGAAAGGAAGAGGAAAGGAGGAAGAACGGTTCGTCGAGGCGAGGAGAGCACGGTCGAACCCGAGGACGAGTCGCAGTTGTTTCGAATTCTGTGTCTCGGCGAGCGGCGATCACGGCGATCGCAACGGAACGATTCCGCTTCCGGAGGAAGGCAGCGACGGTGCGAACGCGAGCGATCGGTCGCGCCGGTGCGACAGCGTGTTCAGCTCGCTAAATTTTTGGGGCGCCAACATCGTGATATTCGCGAACGCGGTTTACATGGTCCCGTACGTGGTGGTCGTGCTGATCTACGCGATAGTGCCGGGCCTGGCCGCGCGGGCGTACGGCAAAGTCGTCCTCTGTTACAACGTAACGCAAATCGTTCTGAATCTGATTCTGATCGGCGTAGGATCCTGCGTTCTCTGTCACGTGCCGTTCCCACCGAAGCTCTACGCGTTCGTCGGACTGGCGCTGATGTTCTTAACGATATCCTCGACGTTCTGGCTGTTCATGATTTGCGTCGACATAACGCTGGCGATCACGAGATTTCACCGGGCGTCGCCGATCCGATCGCAGGATCGCCGATCGAAAGAGAAAACGAAATTTTTATGGTACGCCGGCTGGACCTGGGGCGCGTCGTTGCTACCTACCGCGCTCGCTTGCGTCGCCCACTTTTCTCGCTTGTTGCCCGAATCCTCTCCGATCAGACCGAATTTCGAGAACGTCGAACACGGCCCGAACCTGCCCGTCCTATTGTACGTGCTGACGTTCCCGGTGCTTACTTGCCTCGCGAACACCGTTCTCTTCTGCTACACCTCCTACAGGATGTACGCGATACAGAGGTCGACGAAGCTGGCATCCGCGAACACCGCCGCGAAAGAGAACAAGACCAGAAAACGCTATTTTCTCTACCTGAATCTCTACCTGTTGATGGACGCGCCTTGGATCACGAGCGCGCTGGCCGCCGCTTTCACCGATCTCTGGCTATTGAGATTTTCCCGAGTGATTCAACCGATCCTCATGCTGGTGAGCATTCTGCCTCCGCAAACGCTATCGCTCGTCCGCGATCGTATCTGCGCTCGGAAATCGCGCGTCCGCGATCCGAAACCGGAACCGGAATCGAACGCGGTTGCGGTTGCGGTTGCGGTTGCGGTTGCGATCGAGGAATCGGTCTAATTCGCGGCGGTCGGTTCAGCTTTTCGGAGACACGAAACCGGAGCGTCGTCCGACTCTGATTAATGTTATTATAATACTTATGTACGATATCACATCGAACCGGATGAAAATAAACGGGGTGCAACGGTCGCTTTGAAAACCAGTGTATCTACGTTGTCGCTACGTTATCGCTACAGCAAGCGTGCTCGAGTTGGACATTGTTCGAAGTTGCTCGACGAAGGGAGCTTGCGCCGCGTCGATCCCGGCGGATCTTCTCGCAGAGACTCCCGGACCGTTTACAGCGAACCGTAGAAGCAGTCGATGCTCTTTATACGGCGAGAGGGATCCCTACTCCAGCGAATAACCCAATTGTAGGAGTAGTTTACCGTTCTTAAATAACCCACGGCGATTCGACGAGCTCGTCCGATTTCATTGACGCAACCGTGCGCGAACCTGAACTTGCCCATCTATATTACACCTACGATGAATCGAAGCGGATTGCATCGGATCGAATCGTTGTCGTGGCAAACGATAAAGTTACGCAAATCGAGCGCCTCGAGTCCGAGTGATTCCTTGAAGCGCTCCTAGAGTTACCGCCCGATCCCTTGCGCGTCGAATCGAGCACACCGACAACGCGATACATTTTAGCGTTTACCGCCGCGACGGGACGCCTGGATTTCGTTACCGAATGGCGCAATCATACCAATTATTGGCTTACATTAGTATTAGCTGTCACGCGATCCTGCCATCGTAAACCGACCGCAACATATTACGTTCCTTTTCGCGTAGTTTTGTCGTCTTACGGCTTGCGGATTTCAGGTTGCGGCTTACGGTTTACAATTAACAATTACTTAATGTTTGCGGCAAAAGCATTAAGAGGCGATCCTTTCGATCCGTTCGATCTTCATTTATCCAAGCGCGTGTACTTATGTTAATCGCCTCGAGTCAATTGTCTGGTGGAACAGGGCGGATCGAGCTCTCGCGGACGGTAGAGCATCTTTCGACGCGCGGTTTGCACCGCGACGACTGATTACGACCGGGGTTAGTCTCCTGGTTCCTGGGACGGTCTTTTCGCATTCTAGAGACGCGCATCTTCTTCGACGGGGACTCGAGATGACGAGTCTCTCGGCGTCGCGTCGGCGGACGCGTTCGATCGATACAGGCTCCTGCCGACAAAAGTAGTACACTCGTATCGACTAACGAGCATACTCCCCCTGCGGAGGGATCGAACCAAGATTCTATTCTTACGAAAGACGGCAAAACGATCGGTGGTCGCATTCACCTGTAGACACGCACAAGAAACAACGATTCCAATGTAAGCAAGCAACAGAGTATGCGTTGCCGATACAGTGGGGCGCGTGTAACTACATGTCGTCGCAGAAGAGTCCTGGGTGGGGTCAACCTGGGCCAATTGGTATAAAATCCTCGGTACCGTCGAGCAAAGGCAAGCAGTTGTCAAAGAAACACATCGTACCGCATCGCACTACATCGCACCGAATCGCATCGCATCGCATCGCATCGCATCGCCAAAGCATTCAACGCCATGGACATCAAAGTAATTTCTTTCCCCGTTACCGTTTCCTTCGAACGCGAAGCTCGCGGTCGCATAAAACAGATCCGATAGAACGTGGAGAATACGTTGATAACAATGTCGATCCGTTCCGATGTTCGCAGGTTTTCTGTTACCTGGCCGGTTTAATCAGCGTCGGCCACGCGGGGATCATCGGGAATGCAGGAGCCACGGTGGCTGCGATTCCAGCCCAGGCCACGGTGGTCAGGACCGAGAATTACGACCCGAATCCGCAGTACAGTTTCAGCTACAGCGTGGCGGACGGTTTAACAGGTATCTCTAACTCGTCGTGGACGAGTCTTCCTCTGCCGGGAAACGACGAACGTTTCTTTCGAATCGAAGGAGTAACTCGGGCTTGTTTCAGGCGACAACAAGGCCCAGGAGGAGACTCGGAACGGTGACGTGGTCCAGGGCAGCTACAGCCTGATCGAACCGGACGGCTCTCGACGCGTGGTGTCCTACGCCGCCGATCCCATCAACGGTTTCAACGCCATCGTTCAAAAGGACCCGAGCATCACGGTGAAGACCGTGCAACCGGTTATCGCGGCGCGACCGGCGGCATCGGTGATCGCGGCCGCACCCGCTATCCGCCCTCAGGTTGGTTCGCGGGACTCCCTAAATCGTTGTAACGGTAATAATAGTCGGGGCTAACGATCGAACGTCTTCGTCGATTTCAGTTGCTGGCAGGACCAACGGTGGCCGCCACGAACCTCGTAGCCGCCAACACAGGGTTGCTGGGTCTCGGAGGACTCGGCGTCGGGCTCGGACTGAGACAGGGTTCTCTGATCGGTACGCAGGCTCTGCTCACGGGTGCTGCCTTGGGTGCCGGTGGCATCGTTAAAGTCCACTAAACGAGGCGACGCGACGCGAACTTACTCGGCTGGGCTCCCCATTTCCATAATCTGCGCTCTTGGTTCACTTTTCTCCGCTTCTTCCGATCGCACTCGTAATCCCAATCGTTCCGTATCGATTCGCAGGCGCGTCTTTATCTCGCGTTTTTCTCACTCCGACCGCTCCTGTCCTCGTCTCTCTTCCACCTACCTCCCCGACCGATCCTCCCTGGACAGTTTCGATTCGCTAAATTCTCGATTACGATTATCGGGTCGACGTCGGCCGCGCGTCCCAACCTTTCGTTTCTTTCCATTTCGAAACAGACGCGTTCGCGCGTCTTTTTCGCCGAGCAGCGGGGAGTCCTTATTACCTTACACCTTGTACACTTTACACGATGCTGTTAGCGCACAAAACGAAAACGTTCGTCGAACGAGCAGACCTGGAATTGTTCTAGACCCCAGTACATGTATTAAAGTCGTAGGTAACACACATTCTACTCGCGTATGTATTCTGTGACACGTGATACTCGTAAGATGCTATATTTTCTATATCGCGCAAAGACCGGGAGGAAGTTAACGCTAACCGATGGCGAACGCCGAACGATGCGACGAGCCGCGAGCACGCCGCACGCGCCGTTCTAGCCATTGGAACGATTCTAGGACGTCTCATCCCTGGCTCGAAACGCAGCGTTCTCGATGCCGCGTTTCCAACAACTTTCCAACGAGTAGCGTTAACGTGAAAAAGAAAATAAAAATCATTTATTTAGCAATCGTCTCCCCGAGTTTTCAATCCCTTCGATCCGGAATCCCGTATCGGAAACGCCGACCTCGGCGCGCCGGGAACGAGAGATTGCTCGATCGCTCGAACGTTTCGCGTTTCATGAAATGCTATCCGTGTTGCAGAAACAATGGAAAAGCGTCTTCGTCGAACTAACGGCGAAAGGATCGTGTTTACCTCTGTGCTGCGACGAGTTGTACGGTGCGTGCTCGAAAACTATGGGCTTGCCGAGTTTTCGCGTTCGACGAGAACGCTTTGGAGACGTTGCATTTCCAACGCGGGCTTCTAACGCGCGGTTTCCGAAACGATCTACCGTAGAAATTTAGAAATACATGTTCATACGTGTTGTATGCAACAACTGCACGCGATGCTTTTCGATTAATAATTACCTTTTCGCATCCGATGCGCGAGTCTTGCTAAAACGTGATCCTAATCGGAGGTTGCTGCCGTAACCGATGTCAGCGATTTCGCGACGACATCGTTTACCGCTGTAGTAGCTGTCCAATGCATTTGCGTGTATCGGCGCAAAGGACGCCGACGAGGAAAGCGAGGGCAAAAACATCGATGGTTCATGAAACTACCAAAATGTAAAAGATTCGCTCGAAATTTATTAAAATATGATACTTTGATCACTGAGAGAGGTATAGTAGTGACAACCGTAAAAATATTGTGAACGAAACAAAAACATGGTTGAATCGCAACGCAGGATTTCCGACGGTTATTCGCGACGAACAGACCGTTTCTTCTTCTAACAACGATAAAGACCAGTCAAAAGTGCGTCTATTCGTTAATATATCGGTCGATTGCTATCAGTGTTACACTACTATCGTTATCGTTAGCGTTACTTTCTTCGTTTCTTAGTTACACCTTCGGTCAACGTTGAGATGCGCGACCGTAAATATCATTAAGTACATATACGTATATTCGAGTGATACGATCAAGGCACGATT